GTGCAAATTACTGACCTCTGTCATCATTTTAGGTGGGGGAACTTGCACAATCGGTGGCTGACTAAATACTTTTTTGCCCCACTGTATAGTGAAATCTATCTACAGTTATAAAAGTACAGGCAAAACAAAACCCAGTCCTACATTGTAGAGGCAAGCAGGAGTCACAGAACAGACACTGTCTTGTGTGTAGAGTGGCCTTTTTTCACTAGAGTAGTTACCTGTGTGCGCTCAGTTTTTCTTTAGAATTGCTCAGTCAGGCTTTAACAAACTGGGATATCAGATAGAGTTTGCTTTCAGAATTGCTTCGAGGTAAGTATGATTTAGTGGTTTCAGTGGAAAGTCAAATTTGTCATCTATATATAAGTCCTCAATATGTTTCAACCCCCTTCCCCCCACTCTAAAAACACCCTGTCCAGTTTTCCTGGTTTAAACAAATGGCTATGTGTTGTTGGCATTCTTACTGAGAGATCAGGTAATTTAAGAGATTTCCTGATTTGACTTAATATCTTTAGAGAGTGTTTAACAACAAAATTACACCTGATCCATTTATTAGAGGAACTGGTGTTAGAAAACAATAAGGCAGGTAATGAGGTTTCAGATACTGTTGCTGACTCTACCTGAAGCCAGAGCGGGAGATTATCATATCGGTGGTCGATGGGCGGACCCCACTGCCAGTGTAATAGAGCTCTTGAGTTTGCAGCCCAGTAATAGTGTCCAAACACAGGGAGACCCAACGCCCCACAAGAAGTACTTTTTTGAAGATGAGCTTTGGATATCCGAGGGGTTTTCCTGCACAGATAAATGAGAGAATCAATGAATCAGGCTGCTTAAAAAACTTAGGTGGCAAGTAAAGAGGGAGGTTTTGAAAAACATAGAAATCGTGGCAGAGACACCATTCTAACTGCATTTATTCGACCAATCAAAGACAAAGGGAGCAGTTTCCATTTTCTGATATCCTCTTTGAGCTTATCCAGGATTTCCAAGATGTTCAATTTATAAAGAAGTTTTGAATTTTTAGGAATCTTAAGGCCAAGATAGGTAAAGGATGTAGTCACTAATTTAAATGGGAGTGAGCTGAGAAACTTTGGGCATAAATTATCTGTCATTGGCATGATTTCAGATTTGTCCCAATTAATCATATATCCTGATAATTTCCCAAAGTGTTTAATGCAATTTAAAAGATTAGGAAGTGAAATTCCTGGTTCGGAAAGACAGATCCATAAATCATCCGCATACATATTAACAAGACTTTCAGCATTCCCAAATTTGACTCCCTGTATGCCTGGGGGGTTTCTTATGGTAATAGCAAGGGGCTCCAGAGCTATATCAAAAAGAAGAGGTGAGAGGGGGTCCCCCTGTCTGACTCCACGTTGTAATTGAAAGGGGGAGGATTTATCTGCATTAGTGAGGATGCAGAACACCCCGAGCTGGATAAAATCACTCTTCAAACACTGCCAAACCCAAGGCAGTTTATTCTGAGGAAGCTGATTCACTGGATTTAAGAAAGCGTTTGTGCACTGCTCCTTCTGAGGCTTGAGTTGTAACCTCAGACACTGTTAAGACTGTTTTTTCAAAGACTGTTAGCCGTGGGGGGAAAAGTTTCACACTGATATTTGGTAAGTCTGTTTTTTCTGAGCCTGCTCCTCTGTTCCCAGGCTGGCTGAGGCAGCCTGCTCCTCAGGTGGGGACAGCAGACTAGACATTGCCAGTGCTCGTCCTGACTCGCAGGATACAGGCGGCTGGGAGCCAGCTCACTCCTGGACCCGTACCTACTCATCAGGTGGGAATGACTGGTGTCCGGTCTGCCCCCAAAACCATTGCGGGTTCCCAGGGTGAGGCCAACCAGGACACAGTCTACCTCTGCACCCATACCTACTCTTTGTGTGTGAGCAGCTAGTATCTGGCAGCAGCACCTGTTCCTGTCTCCTGTTCTGGAGGTTCTGGAGAATCAGCTCAACCACCACTTCTGTCACTAGCTGAGTCATTAGCTCAGTTACCAGCTCAATCATCTGCTCAGTGATTTGCTCAGCCACCTGAGTGGGAGCCGCTCCAGCACTCCACGCCTCCCACGCCATTGTCTGTTTCTGCTGGGGGCTCCAGTGAAGCGGTCCAACACGCCTTGGCTTCCATGCCGCCGTCTGTTTCCGCTCGCAGCTCTGGAGAGTCTGTCCAGCTGTCAGCTCCACCTACAGCTCAATCACCGGATCAACCGCCTGCGGCCGCCACGCCACCGTCTGATCCTGCCTCACCTGGTCCTGCCTGATCTGGCCTTGTGCTCTTGTCACCAGCCAAGCCTCCCAAGAGCCTTCAGATATGTCTGTGTGCTGCTCGGCCTGCACGTCCACATTCATCCACCACACCACATCATCACCGGCCGTGCTGCTGCCACTTTCCACGCGGTCTGGAGAATTTTCCCTTGTTCCATTAGCAGATTTTTTTCACTATTTGAAGCAACTATATCTTCTATTAAGTGGAAAAAATCTGCCAATGGAACAAGGGAAAATTCTCCAGATCCACTTTCCTTAATCTCACTGAAATGTTACTCTGTAGCTGATTGTGTCTCATTTTAAGTGTGATGAGATTTTTTTTTTTTTTTTTTTTT